CATTCCCACTCAGCAGGGTCGAAAGGGAGAGCGCAAATGAGGGTGGCTGGCTCAAACGCGTGGTGTGTGTGATCAGCACCCTCGATAACTCTGATTCTCACCAGGCCGGACCAACTGGTTATTGTATCCTCCTCGTCGAACCTGAGCAGTCTGACGCATTTGGCTTGTTGGTCGATTACCTGGTAGGCTTCGAGGCAGACATTGCTGTCCCTCTTCTCGACCACTTTCCATACCGTTTTTCGGGTGTGGAGGGTATCGTAGCGCACTACCAATCATGCTTCTCAATCGTCGGGCCTTTTTTTAATGCTGCTTGCCAGGCGAGGGGGATGGCCACTTGAACAGACTCAAGTTTCTTAGTCTTCCTTTGCACATGCTTGAGTTGATGTTTTAGTTGTTCTTCAGTTTTCCATTGGCCCCTCCTGTCGTCCCATAAGTCACCTATCGTGAATATCCCTTTGGCCACCCACGACCTCCATGGGATCCCGTTGTGAGTTGCAGCGAGGTTCCGTTGTCGTCTACTATACCCGGGTTTCCGAAGAGAGGTTGTCTTCTTATTTCCTGCCACCGGAGTTGCGGGGGGGAGGGGGGATGGGCCCATTGTTCTCCATAGTTTGATCAGGCCGGGCCACAGTGGGTCGTTTGCGGTATCCATTCTGGCCCGATTTTGTGGAGAACTGTCTCCTTCTCTCACGAAGGGGCCGGGCACATTCCATGCCGGGTTGGTAAACCACTGCAAGGGGTGCACAGGTTTTTCTACTGGGGAGGAGAGTGCCAAGTTGGCACTTTGGATTTGTGCATATGGTACCCACTGTATGTCATTTCCCAAGAGGAAATGGATAATGACTTTGAATGAGAGGGCCCTCAGTTGGTCCTCCGGGTCTAGCACCGCCAACCCTCCCTGCGCTCGTGGTTGAGCTATGTATTTCCATGCGATTCTGGATATGAAAGTCTGATCATCATGGTCGTTTTTCCAAATGTAGGCCGCTGCCGCCCTTCTCAGTTTTTGCAAGTGTTTAGGGTGGACCGGCCAGCATGCCGCCTTGTACCAGATGGTCGAAAAGATTGCTGTGTTTATCGCCAGGGCCCTGCCCACAATGGAGGTATGCAGACCTTTCCAACTTGCAAGGGATGCCAGGGTTTCTTCCACCAGCGACGCCCCATGGTCCCTCTGGGGTCCCAACGCCGTGAGGCGGACGCCCAGTATTCTGATTGCTTCCTCTTTTTGTTTCCATGACACGGCCGGCTCCAGCGGCGGGGGCTCCCCCCCGGGGTGTAACCACGGATCCCCAATTGACCACCATATCGGAGGCGACGGAGAAGATCTGAATGGTGTTCAGGAGGGCGTTTATTGAAGATCTGTTAGCCTTTATGAGGACCGTAGATCATCGGCGACGCTGTGATGCAAGCCCCGCTGGGCGAACGGCTGCATTCGATACTGGATAATCTTCCTAAAGCCAGAGTAGGCATTACCAGGTCCTGCATTGTATGTCCCCAGTCATCTCTGTCATACAAGCTCCACACACACTAGGCTTTTGTCAGTTTCTAGCTTTTAAAGGCTATTTTAAATGGGGGGCTGCAGACCGGGGCTGGGCTAACGAATACGGGGTGCTCTAAGAAGGGAGGGGAATCACTAGCAGCTCCACGGGACAACGGACACCCGAGTCTAAAAAGGAGAAAGCCCACAACCGTAAGAAACATGAATAAGGGGGGTTGCAGACACCAGGGATAGGAGTTCAGCCACTACCACCTGAGGAGCGTAGACATAAAAGCAAGGCAGACACCATCCCGGGTGGGGCAGTTTGTAAATGCATTTGGAACTGCCTGTTTGGAGTCCAGTACCGTCCCAAGTTTCAACTGCAGTTGAAACTCTTGACATGCACAAAAGTCGCAAGGTCGAGTTTGCAACTGCAGTCCAGTCCGGCATGTGGCGTTTTTTTTTTTTTTTTTTTTTGTATCTCGGCCGTGGGCAAGACATCCACGGCCGTTGCCCAACCACGCGACGAGATGCTCTCTCTTTTTTTTTTTTACCTCGATGTGGGCAAGGCATCGCGGCCGTGGCCAGCCATGCGATGGGCCTAGATTTATTAAAAAAAAAAAGAAAAACAAAACAAAACACAGGGCCTTGCTCCACTATTCTTGACATGCACAAAAGACACAAATTACAGCGCTGTATCTTTCCATGTTCTACAGGAAGATTCACTCTCGTCTTGCACATTTCGAGAGTAGTGGAGCCAGGCAAAAAGAGAGTGAATCTTCCGCTACAACAGGGAAAGATGCACCGCCACGAGGCCCCAAGGATGACACGCATAGGTCGGAGAAAAAGAGAAAAAAAAAAAGAAGACAAACTGGGTTGTTGTCAGCACGTGTCTCCCCTAGGGCCTCTGCCGTGTTGTCAGCCCGTGTATCCCGCTGGGCCCCCGTATTCCCGTCGCACAGAAGGCAAAAATCATGGAGTTGTATCTTTCCATGTTCTGGCAAAGATCCACTCTCGCTTTCGGCATTTGGAGATCAATCGTGGAAACCGAGAGTGAATCTTTCCGTAGAACATGGAAAGATACAGCGCCTGGCCCTCCAACGTGCATGACTAGACTGCCCTTACAAACTCTGCCCTGCTACAGCCACGCGACGGCTGAGTTTGGCCTGCAGTGTAAACTTCAGAGGGGACAAACTCTGCCCTGCTACAGCCACGCGACGGCGGAGTTTGGCCTGCAGTGTAAACTTCAGAGGGGACTGGACTCCAAACTGTAACCCTGACCGGGCCCTAGTTTTCTCTAAAAAAAAGGGGGTCAGAAATCAAGGATGTTATAAAAAAAGGGGTCAGAAATGAAGGATACCCGTAAGTGGGACTTGGCCTCTGGTGCACCAACTCCCACCATCCACTTGGCTATTTTCCTCCCCCTCTCAACCCCCCCCCCCCCCCCCCCCCCAAAAAAAAAAAACCCTCCACCTTCTCAGGCTTCTGTGGGAATCCTCTCCCCTTGACAGAGGACTGAACTTCTCCCTGAGATCCAGAATCTCCCGTCTCCACTCCTCTTGAGGGGCTAGCCCTGCATTTACTACCCCATGGATTTGATGCATTGAGCTTAAGAAGGGGGAACTTTCCCCCATTTTTACTTAGTCCAGCAGGTGCCCTCCATTCGCTCGCTGACGCTCGTGTCATCCTTTGTAACGTTTATAATTGCTGTTGGTCATCTTTCTTTCTTTTTTTTTTCTATTTTTTTTGAAGTCCATGGTGTTGTATAGGCCAGTCACTGTGTACACAGTGATCACCTGGAGCAGTAGGCCGTGGGTGTCCTGGAATATGAGACCACCTCCCATCCCATCCTCACGTCAATACTCCTTAGGCTAGCGCACCCCCCTATCCCACTATCCTACCTCAGTGTGACCAGCACTCAGGACCATTACCCTACCAATGGGCAGGTAACTTGGACCGAACAGCAGCTCTCGATAGTGAAACAGTATTTGCCCATTTGTCCCCCGCCCCAACAGCTGTAGTCAGAGATGCTTGCAGAGGTACCCTCAGAGTCTACATAGTCTTTGGAGTAGTGGTAGGAAGGTAGTGAAAGGCACAAAAAAAGAATTTGAGAGAAGAACCTAGTGTAGTTAAAAAACATAACAAAACAAAACAAAACTACCAAAAAAAAAAAAAAAAAAGCAAAACAGAACAAAAGAAAACAAACAAAACAAAACAGCATTTGCACAACTTTTTTTTCGGGTGCCATCAACTCCAACCATCCACTGGTCTATCCACACTTCCTTTTTTTTTTTTTTTTTTCCAATTATCCACGTGTCAACAGATAGGAGTGACTATCCTCCTCCTCCTCCTCCTCCTCCTCCTCCTCAGGCCCCTGTGGAAAATTTAATCCTCTCCTACTAGGTGGACTCCCCTTCTTCAGTGACAGGGGTGGATGAAGCAGAATAGGTGAAACTCGAACTTGGTGTCGGCAAAAACGTGAAAAGCACACAATTTCGGGCAAAAATCAATACCATGATCTCTCTGATCAAGGTTCGATACTGCATCTGTGCCATGAAAAACCATCTCTGTGATCAGGTGATTCAGATCTTTTTTCTTTTTTTTTAAAAAGCAAGCGACCGGTACTAGAGGGGGTGTCACTGAGAGAAGCAGCCTCCTCTCGTAGGTATCCCTCTGGTTGCTCCATTTGTTGGTGGGGAGCTGCAACTGCTGGCATCTCCACTCTTTTTTTTTCCTTTTTTTGTTTTCTGAACATCCAGCATAAACATCTCCACTGGTCTTCAGCGGCCAGCCCTGCATTTACTACCTCTAAGTCAATGCATCTAAACCACCAGTACCTCGCCCAGCTACTGAAGCAGCGCCTGAAAGTGCCCTGTGCGGCAAAAAAGAATGAACTGGCATGGGCCTCGCTTGGGCTGGTGCTGCCAGCCATTTTGGTCCAGTACCCTGACCCCAAAAAGTTGAGGATGTAAATGAGTTGCATTTTATTTATTTTTTTTTTTTTGAAACATGGGGATGGAGGACCCCTACTACAGGCAGGGATAAGAGCCCATGCTCATAGTAGGGAGTCGCCATGTTGATGGCTCGCTTCTTATTTGTGGGGAGAAGCACGTGCTGCTGGGAACCCGGGCCACATATTTGTTTTTCAAGCGGGGAAAAATATGCATCCATTTGTCAAGACCCCTTTGTGGAGGCAGCTCTGCCTTTGGCCTGCCAAACTGTGGCTGAAAAAAGCACATTGTCAGTCTCCAACAAGGGGTGCTGTGGGGCTCGTTAGACACTCCTTACAGCGTCCCCGGGGTCAAACGAAATTTGCTTCAGGGTTTGGAAGGAAATTCCCGCTGTCGTTCCACCTATCCTCGGGGTGGTCTCCCGAGGACAGTTCGTTTTGGCCCCCCGCGGCTCAGTTCATAATATTAAAGTTGGCCGCCCCTGGGTTGTATGCCTTGGTGAGGCTTGGTCCATTGGGTGATGTCCATCTCGCGATGCTGTGGTCCATCTGCCGAAGGCAGGAAAATTTTTAAGGCGCTGGCGACCGGAAAAAACAACAACAGAAATACCAATGGCCCTCCCAGTTCGAAATTCAAATTTCGAATCGGGTGCTGGACGTGACGACAGCGACATGGGACATGTGGCGTCAGTACTGGCGAACGGTGAAATAGGGCATTTGCAGCGGCGCAGTGGGGTCGTCGTGCTTCGTGCACAGTCTGGTGAGCGCTCCGCAAAGGTCATTCGCCATCGCCGCCTCCTGCTGCCGCGTGTATGTGTGGAGTCCAGCACAGGCAGGGAATGTCGTGGGGGACTCCATGCTGAGGTTATCGTGGTTGTCCTCCCGTTCGTAGGCTTTTGCAGTCGGGTGTTGAGTACCTTTGCAACACGATTGGCCATGGAGTTCGGCGACAACGTCGGACGTGCAAAGTTGACGACCATCAAGAAGACCGCCATTGCAGCGGTCGTGATGGCCATGCTCTTTCGTTGTCACCAAGAGAGGGCATTGGGCGGAATGAGAGCACAGAAGGAAGACGTGTCCCTGTCGAAGGGCTGGATACCGTGGCCATCACCGAAGCTGTACTCCAGGTTTGCTGCGCGATGGGTTCCGGTGTCCTTTCACAAGCGACGCCGAGGTGGTGGATGAAAAGGAGGACGGATGGGGCATGGGAGGATCTCAGGCAATGCGACGACACGACAGAGGAGTACTTAGGGGAGAAGCTTCGTATGTCACCACGTGTGTTTCGGGAGATCGCTGAAGCTTTGCCGCCTCGTGTACAGAGGCGTGTGGGGTTCTATAGGGAGCCCCTGCAGCCTGATCACATCATCGCTTATGCGTTATACAGGTGGGCATTGGGGGAGATGTACGAAAGTAGCACATGCAACTTTGGGATTGGGAGAGCTTCTGAACTGGTGGCGATACGGGACGTAACGACAACGCTGCTGAAGGTATACAGGGAGAAGATATCATGGCCGACGGGGGTGCGCAAGTCGGTCATCCTTCGAGCACTCACTGACAAAGGATTCGCGAACTGCCACAGGTGCATCGACTGTACTCACATCTACATCGACAAGTTGGCGAACGCGCCCAACGAGGACTACTACGATCGTAAACGGCGTTTCTCAATTGTCGCGCAGGTAATCGTCGATCTGAATTTACGTGTGCTGGACGTTCACATGGGGTACCCAGGAAATTGCCACAACGTCAGGGCGATCCAAATGTCAAGTTTGTGGGCGCGTGCGGAGGCCAACAATCTTTTCTCGGGGCCGCCAGTGATGCTCCCCTTCCAAGTGCAAACGAACGGGTACTTGCTGGGCGACAATTATGACTATCCTCCTTCGGAATGGATTGTTGTTCCATATGGAGGCATTGGTCAGCACCTTGTGGAGGAGTGCTTCGACAACAAGCAAAAGGTGGCGAGAGGGGTTGTGGAAAGGGATTTTGGCAGGCTGAAGGGGATGTCACAGTGGAGGTTGTTTCTGCGAACGCATAAGACAAATATGGAGACGTTGCCGCAGTAGTTCGTAGCCATCCCTCATCGACGCAAACATTCCATTTGACGACAACCTGTTGTGGGAGGTGGAAGCCGACGGAGTACGCCACTGCGTGGACCTCGGGATTCAACGACCCCTGCGGCCGGTGTGCATAAAGAGTTCCACAGGCGATGAGCTCATTCTAAGGGGCACGTTGGCGGAGCGGATGACATGCGAGTCATGATGTCCTTCCTCCGGTTCTTAACACTCATAGATGTCGTGCGTGTATGGGGGGGGGGGGTGTGCACGAAAGAGTGGATTGACGGAAGGGTGAAGTCGTGTGTCGCCGTGCTCCTTGTTCAAAAATTAATCCCCGGAGCTATGTATGGCGTTCAGTTTTTGGAATGGTTCGTCGAAGTTTTGTTTAGTAGGGAGTGTTATCAATGTTTATGTTTATTTTTATGATTCGTTCATACGTTGTTATTGCCTTCATTGGAGGCTTGGTCGGTTCGTTTTCTAATTAGTCGTATCGTTGTGCGGACGTGTCTGTAAAGGACTGTGTTGTCCATAGCGGCGGGGTTGATTCCCAAGTGGTAATGAAATGTTTGACTGCCGCCGCGTGTTTTTTTATGACCGCGGTTGTTTATTCAACCTCTGTTGCAAAACATGTTTTCTTTGTTATCTTCATGTTAAAATCATGAAGTGTGTGAGAAAGAGTTCGCCGTTATCTTTTAGGCGTTCTTTTCCATGGGGCATCACAACATGATGTGTACACAACGCATGATCGTGGTTTGTGTGTGTGTGTGTGTGCGGGCGTAAACTTGCATGACAGATGATGACTCTTCTTCTGCCCATCGCTCAGAACACCCTTGACGGACTTGGTTGATGAATTGATTACATTGAGAAATTGGTGGGCTAAGAAAATGAAGTCTAAGGGTGAACTTATGATTGTCAATATTGAGATCGCACGCTTATGAGTAGGTGTTTTGCTAGATTCTGGTCAACGTGGTCATACATTTCAGAAAAGGCAATAAGGAAATAGCATATGGGAATGAGAGTGCAGGACCTTCCGCAACCTATCATGTCTACGTTTGCAAATAAAAACATGATCATTGTCTCTCAATATGTTACAACAAAAAAAATTCCCAGAATTAAATAATCATCTATATTAAAATTACATTCTGAATTTTAAATTTTCAGGCCGACCCAGATATAAAGTTCAAAGATAAGATTGTTCATTTTAGGATGAAAAATCCAATAAGAAACCAATAACACTGTTTCATAAGTATGGTAATGATTCATCAGTCTTTTTACGGTGTGAGTCTTCCTACTTTCCGAAGCATGTTTACAAAGAAGAAGTTGGCACAAGACGAAATGATGGTACTCGTAAAACGAGTCGGTCACTATTCTTCGTCCTATCCTCCTTCTAGTGACAAACTTCTTCACGAATTTATGGACTTGCCATAAGCGGTTAACAGGGATCCTCACTTTTCAGCCCTGGTTAAACCCCTCAATCCTGAAAAGTGCATTGGAGATCTTTTTTTTTTTTTTTTTTTTTTTTGCCCTATTTCATTTTTGGTAAGGTCTGTGTGTGCCAAGTTTGGTGTTTGTTAGGGTCTTGGAGTTGGCTAACCCTGAAAAATCCTAAAAATCCTTAAAACTGAAAGGACTGAATTTTTCATGAAATACACTTTTGCCTTGATGTTTTATAGGTTTTTAAGTTTCCTATTTCCTTTTAAGTAGTTAGTAAAATCTCCACTCTATGAATTAGTGGCAAGTTTTGTGAAAATGATCCTTGGGTTTTGTTATAAATGCCTTGATAAGTCGTCAGGAAATTGAGGCCTTCGTTAACCGTCTCTCGGACTTGAAGAATGAACCCACGGGAATAACTAAACGTCTACGAATCCCCCCCGGGGACGGTCATGCGTGGTCGTGGTCGGGGTCGCGACCTCGCGGGCATGGCCACGCAGCCGAAGAACTTTATGGCAGCGTGGCGGCCTGTGGTGGAGGGGGGGGCGGGGATTTTGAAGGCCGATTGGGGTTGCGCAACCCCAACCCCATGCCGTCACTAAAAAAAAAAAAACATAAAAGAACCAATTTTTTTTTTTGGGGGGGGGGATTTGGAGGGGCTGAATGACGATTAAAAAAACAAAAAACAAAAAATCTTGAAGGTCTGATTGATTGATTGATTGATTGATTTGTGGGGGAGCGGTTGG